TTATGTGCCACAGAATACATGATCCCAGTCTGAAATGTGGTCTAAAAAATGAAGGGTCTAACAGCACAAAACTGTAAATTACACATGGCAGCAAAGCATGGATGTGCTTCCGCCTTCTATAATGGGAACAGGATTAAACTTATTAAACACTGGTCACCTGCAGGCTTCAGACATAATGCCAATCATGGGGGTGAGCAACCAGAAAAACAACTGTTATGCATTTTTAGAATAACAAAACCGTACAGGAGATGCACAAATATGTCAGTTCCTTCATTCCTGTGAGTAATAGAATCTTGATGGGCAGCTCTTACAGGAGATTAGGGGCTGACATGTTTATCTCATCCATTACTTTGTTGACTAAATAAGCAGCTTCAAAACATGCTTTGTGTCACGTTTCACTGTTGGCTACACAAGATAAACACTTTACCACTATCTAGTCCTGCATGTTAGTTTATCATTATGTAGGATAACTATCATTAGTAGCTCAGTCCTGTTCTTTATTTGATATGCAACATTATATTCAGTCTTTTACTAAATCAACACAATTGCAGTCATCAAGTAGCCCTTGAAGAGCTTAAGCTACATCTCACCTTGAAAGTCAGCCAGAGTTTAATTTGCTAAATTTGCTAGCTAATTAGCTAGCTACAGCAAAAATAATAATACTTGCAATAATCACAACAAAACTGTCATTTTTGTCATTTCAGTTGCTGGATAGCCATAAGCTTGCTTTTCTGTAATTAGGCAACCATTGCCTACCAAGAGTTTCACAATAAATACAGTAAATTTGTCAATGTAAACACTGTGCGCTGTGCAAAAAATGAAAAGCTCAACGGCTGCAGCAAAAATAACTAAGTGGGACAGGGCTTTGTGAATACTTCAGAAACCTTGTAAATATAGCTTGTTAGTGGTTTCCCACTCAGTCTAAAGCAAACAGGAATTACAACATTTTAATGATTGAGGGAATCTTTTCTACACTTTGAATAATTCAGATTTAGCTTGTTTCCTGCATATAGGAGATTGTGCCCGTAACTTTCTGGTTGTCCTGCCCTGACGGTAAAGACCCAGGAAGATATGGAAGTTGTTTAATCACCCAGAATATAAAACCGCTGTGGGCTGTTTATTGGTTTGTTTTTTGGAGATATGACCCAGTAACAACAGTAAAACGGCTGTTCCTATTTGCTAAAGACCACAGGCAGTTTCGACAGATGGTGTGTGGAAAAGTGTCTTTTATTATTGCTTATCGACTTCTATCAGCTCAGCACTGTGATTATGATGGAACAAGCATCGGGTATTGAGCCTTAATGGAAACTGAATCACACCCTGCTCTAGGTGTGTTGCTTTTAAAGTAAACTGTGGTGTTTTACAAAATATAATAACTCAGGTTTTAGTAATGATGCAATGTTATTTGATCTTC